GAAAGAAAAAATGTATTATTTGAAAAAAGAATGACTCCCAAACGAAGGCTAAGTAATTCATTTAATCGTACTTCTCATTGAATACCATATATTTTAATTTAATGTCGACGATGCTAAATAAAGTTGCTCGTCAATACTTCTATGAATTATAGATAAAGTAGGTAAGTCGGACTTTTAGTGTCATCTAGAAGTTCAAAAACGACTGCTAAGAAAATTATGGTCTGCATTTAGACACTACCAAAGTTTGATTTATCCACCAAGTCAACATCACGTCTAGAAAAATGACAATATTTGGTGATATTCATATTCTCTGTCTATTTATATGTTGGGTGAGTAATAAATAAGTTTCACATTATTTCAAGAATTAATTCGAAAGTCGAAAAATGGCAGCAATTCCACAAGTCAGTTTGATCAGTTGTGAAAAGCCGATGCCGGTGATCGGCATGGGTACTTCTTCGTATCCTCCGGCCGACTTCGAGACCGCCAAAACAGCTATATTAGAAGCCATCAAAGCAGGGTATCGCCACTTCGACACGGCCTTCGCTTACGGGTCGGAGAAGCCCCTCGGCGAAGCCATTGCCGAAGCTCTACGTCTCGGTCTCATCCAATCACGCGACGAGCTCTTTATCACAACCAAATTATGGTGCAGCTTCGCTCAACGAGACCAAATTGTTCCTACCTGTAAAATGAGCCTCCAGTAAGCACATTTATGAACTTAAATTGTCCATTAATTATATAATTTTTGGTCAATTAATTATAAATTTCTATGTAGGAACCTTAAATTGGACTATGTTGACTTGTACTTGATACACATGCCACTGAGGTTGAGTCAAATGATACAGAAGACACCAGTTGATGAAGAAATCATACATCCTTTGGATGTGAAGGGAGTTTGGGAAGGCATGGAAGAGTGTCAAAAATTGGGTCTCACAAAGGCCATTGGTGTCAGTAATTTCTCTCGCCAGAAGCTAGAGGAGGTACTTTCCATTGCCAAAATTCCTCCTGCAGTCAATCAAGTGAGTTTTACTTCCCTCTACCAATACCTGTTTTTAGGAGTAATGATATTCATAATTACCGACATCATATATGACAGCCTGCAATTTGATGCATTATGTTACATTCTATGTAACACCTTGTTATTTGAATAATCATTCTATGTGACAACTTGTTACTCGAGATAATATAATTACAAGAAACTAACGTCTCAAATAACAAGTTGTCACATAATATGGCTACTATAGTCGCTGACTATGAATAACGTTATTATATTTTTAGATTAATATATAGTATGGTAGGGGCAGCGCTAAACCCGTGTTTTGCCTAATTGAAATAAGGTTGAGCTCAATCCGGTGTGGCAGCAAAAACAACTAAGAGAGTTCTGTAAGGCAAAGGGTATTCATATAACTGCTTACTCTCCTCTTGGTGCAAACAATACTAAATGGGGAGACAACAGAATTATCGAAAGCGATGTGCTAGCAGATATTGCCAAGGCTCGAGGAAAGACGACCGCACAGGTAACGTTCACGTTTTGGAAAATCGAAAACTCTAAAAATCGTTGTATCGAAAACTTGAGAAAATGTTTATGTGTTATTTGGTGCAGGTAGCCCTGAGGTGGGTTTATGAGCAAGAAGTGAGTTTGGTGACAAAGAGCTTCAACAAGGAGAGAATGAAAGAGAATTTACAAATATTTGATTGGTCTCTGAGTGAGGAAGAGTTGGATAAAATCAGCAAATTGCCACAACGTAAAGGAGTTACTTTGGCCTCTATTCTTGGACCCCATGATTTTGTGCTACAGTTGGATGCAGAACTCTAAAAAGAGCATGTTTGGTTAAGCTTAAAAGCAGCTGATAAGCTGCTTTTCTTATAAATAAAAATGCTACTTATACACACTTGGTACACAACTCTCTCGCATGTATGTGGGGTCCATTTGTGGGACCCACACACATGTGAGAAGGTTGTGTCGGAGATTGTGTACTAAAGTGTGTAAGTTATGAATAAGTATGTACGCAAACTCCACTTGTTAGTGGAAAAGGTCTACCATCTTGGACGGACGTCGAAGTATTTTTGTACAATTTTCATTAGTTCATCCTGTTTAGTTATAAAACTAATAAATATTAATGTTTCTCATTATCTTAACGATGAAGATCTGCTTAATACATGTTATGATCGACGTTATCGATGGACTCAAATTAGTTCGTAAATTTTAAATATCTTCAACTCCACACGATAATTTTCTATTTATTGATAAAAATTATAAATGGCGTGTTCTTCTTCTTTACGTTGGTGATATAATTATTACGATGACTTTGAAAGTGTCAATGAATAGTATCTCAACAAACACTTTGATAGAAAACCTTTGTTTTATTAACTATTTTTTAAGATTAAGAGTCTATTCTCATGATAAAGTAATGTTTATTACGAGTTAAAAATGTTCCAAGTCTACTATATTTGTGTTTGCGTGATTGATAAAACGATTACTTCAAATCCTACTGATCAATATTAAATTTGCTCTCACTACGTGTCTCTAACAAAGTCATCTCAAGCATTAAACGAGTAAGACGGTCGTCTAGGTCCCAATTTATTGAAGAACCTCAATTTTTAAAATTTACATGTTTTTGCCTTTTTTTTTTTCCCTGAAAAATCGCATATGTAATATATAATATTAAAAAATAATTAATGATTACCAAAAAAAGCATTCATCAATAAATAAATTAATAAAAATATAAAAAAAATAGATACTAATAGAAAATTACGTCCTATAGAAAATAGAAATTTAAAATAATTTATAAATTGATAATATTAATAAGGAAAAAATAAATAGACATTTTTAACTTATATGTCGGTATATTATTAAAAAAAAAAAAATTTTGTGAGTGGCACTAATCGATCAATTAGTGAAGTATCATTCATGATTTTTTTTAACAACACTACTCATGATATTGCCATCATCAATCGCTAACGTAGGTGCGTTTGTCATAACTTGCCGTGTTGCTAGCGATAATTTCATTTAAATTACTAACAAATATTGATTTCGATATGAATCTTATTCGGTCCTATTCTCGTCGATCGCCAACGACTTCTCGTCGATGACTAATGCATAGTTGACCATTCACGATAACTATATAGACGACATTGTCATTAATTATCATTGACGAATGTGTATTTGTAATCACCAACGAATAATTTTGTTTGAATGATCAATAGATGTTGATTTCATGAAAATTGACAATTGTCATATCGTCGGATCACCGATTAAATTTTCTTCTATGATTAGTTGATCCGTTGTTTCTCTATTATTTCTCTTGAAAAGACGTCCTTGCCAATTTTTCTTACGGTACCCAAATTAATTGAATCATCTCTAAAAATTATTTCACATTTTTTTCTTTTTACATTGTCTTATCATAATAATATCAATGTAATTAGACCCAGTCCAGAAAAAAACGCGTTTAGTTGTTTTCATCTTAAATCCTACAACTAAAAGACAATTGATAATTCGAAAATAAATGGTGAAGAAACACTTCATTTTTCTAATTAAAAATCCTCATTGCGGCTTTGTTTGAGTTTATTTTATTTTTTTTTTTGGGTGAAAAATGAGTTTTATAAATTTGTATTAGTGATTTTTTATGGAGAATATGTAGTTAAAAAATAAAGAAAAATTTTGATTTTACGTACAAAATTTCTTTTATTGGGATAATGTGTTGAAAATGAGTACGTAGAAAATGAATTTTTGGAAGAATGCGTAGTTAAAAGTATGAAAAAATTTTGAATTTACATGAAATATTATTTTATTGGAAGAATGTAAGATTGAAAATGATTTTATTTTTTTGGGGGAATGAGACTCAAATAAAGACTAATTCAATTTCAAAAGTCATGATACTGCAAGATCAAGCCCGAAAATGGAGAACTCTTCCTAGCGTCTACAATTCTTTAATGAAAGGCAACTAGAAACCCCGAGTAATCAAAATGATATATAGATAATGTTGGAATTTGTATAAAATTGGTTTAAGTATAAAATGATGGAAAAGTGTTTTTCGTGTTATTTCGGCCAAATATTTGAAATTGATTTGATAGTCAAATTATGAAAATAAATCGACTAACTTATTCCACTCGTTGAATAGATTCTCGTGGTATATTTGAAATCTCAAAACAAATTCCGTACGAATGAGAAGTTGCAGACTCAAGTTAGAAAAAAAGAGAGGAAAAACTGACTAAAAATTCTATTGCTCGTTTAGCATTCCAATTGTGAGACTATAGCTCGAGTGACAGATGAGCGACAGATATCTGCATAAAAATAACATTGTTGTCCCTCGAGCGATGAGCCATCGGTTGGTTAGCGATAGAATGGATTGCGACCCTTCATGAAGGCTGATGAATTTTGGGGCATATCTCTTCACTCACACACTCTTCACTTCTATAAATAAGACTCTTGAAACATTCATTACTTCATCCCAGTCATAGTATAGCATCAAAATTCATATTTCCTTATCTGAAATTTTGCATAAAATTATTTTTTCATTTCATTCGAAAAGAGTACAAAATTCATATTTTTGGTTTGTTGTTATTGTGTTTGGAGTGTTACGACACAAAAAAGTAGTCGTTGTATTTTGGGAGTTGATTGTCATCATCCGTAGTCATCGTTGTAAGGCAAAATCAACTTAAGGATAAAAAGATCAACTCTTCCTTGACTTTGCATTCATTTCCTTACTTTGTCCATTTTCACTGGCATTTAGCACCATGATATACTACTGTGAACGTGAAATCTACCGCTAATTTGTAATCCCTGACCATCCACAATTTTATTTTGTTACTAAGTTTAATTTAGTTTTAAATTCCATCACCCTGTCAAATTCTGTCAACATCCCCAAAGTGATAGAAATTGTTCAGTTGGTAGCCATATCATAGTTGATCTTTCACGTTAATTGCTATGTAACACTCCAAAAACAAAAATATTAAACTGATGGTTGTTGCAATATCTTTGTGGGAAATTTAAATAGACCTTTTCTTCATGGTGTATTTATATTTATCTTCTAAATTTACACTCTACATGCTAATTTTACAATGTGTTAACAAAAAATAACTTTTGCAAAAATATTACAAATTTATCACGTAGTTAAATAAATATCCACAATTAAAAATAACAAATTATAACATTTGTATTATATTAAGCTCTTGTTTAATCCCCATTTCTCATAATACATTTTTTCTAAAACTCATTTTCAATCCAAAATCTATTAATCCAAAAAAATGAGGCTCAAACAAGGGCTAAATAACACTTTACTAAGAAATGTTCTCTTACCCACGGTGGAAAATCTTATCTTACCTATTTGGAACGGTTCTCACATTTGGAGAGAATCGTAAGTAAGGTTCTCCTACCACATCAACACGTTGACAGTCTTATTGTTAGGTTGAAACTCGCAAGCGTACGAGATCGTTGTATAAGTAATAAGATTTGTGAGTTAACAGTATCGTCCTATGAGGAATAAGGTATACTTTGTAGTTCAATAACTTTATCAAATTTGAAATGTGGTAATATCAAAAGAGAATTGAGTTTTGTTATTTAGACTAATTTCTACTCTAAGAAGCAAATAAATATGATGTTTTATCTATGTCAATGCTTGTATTGGATTCATGTATTTCTTTATTTCCATATATTTCAATTCTCAATAATTAATCTATTTAATTCATGCATTTTTTACAATTGATAAAGCTAATATGTTAAATGCTTTCTCCCAATATACATCAACTTATGACTAACACGAGGCGATCATATTCATAATCTGAATTCATATGAAACTCATGCATTTAGTGTATATTATCAACAAGATTGCATGTGTGAAAGAGAATATTCATAATATTAACTACACATGTTGATTTTACTGTATTTTAGACTTATTGTGAGTATTCATACACTACAACAAAAAACTAATTATTCAATCGATGGTCAAACAATCAAATAGTGCAATGAATATGTAAAATCAATCAAACAATACAAGAACTTTCTAAATTACCGTCTTGAATTGATATAAAAGAAAATAGGGTTCAAACATTTATTCAATACAATTGAAAAAACTAGCCCAACATGTTTAGAATCAATTTGCAAAAGAACAATTGGAAAATCATCACTCGGAAAAAAGAAATAATGAAGAATTAGGAATTTCTTACGTTCTTGATATGAATCTTGAATACGGATAAAGAATCTTTAATATCATATGCAATTCGCCTTAATTCTACGTTGTTATTCTTGTTCTTCGCCTCTAAAATTGATTAGAATCTATGGATTTTTTAGGTATAAGGAGGTTTCTCCCGTTTTAGACTGCTTATGGTGTTGACACACTAAAAGTGCAGCCCAAATTAAATGGCCCAAAGAACGAAATTCAGTTGAGAATTTGAGATGAAAGCCCAAACAAAGGGGAAGCAGCCCACAAAACAAATGAACATTGTCGCTCAAGCTTGCAGAACGCCATAATAGCTAAGCCTAGGGATTTAGTCAGAGAATAGCCTATGAAAGGAGAAAACAAAAAGAGCAGAACGTTCTTGTTCGATGTAACTAAGGCTGACCTTATATTCGATAAATTGTATAAGGATAAGCAGATAAAATTGAGCGATAAACATAAATTGTCAAGCCCTGAGCAAATTAAGGGTAAGAAATATTGTAAATGGCATAATGCATGGTCACATATGACTAATTATTGCCTGGTTTTCCGACTTGTTTTACAGGACGCTATTGTATCTGGACGAATAAAGTTCGAAGACAAAAAGAAGATGGCAGTGGATGAA